GAACAAATTTGAATCCCCTTTACCCAAGGATAATTTGAGGCAAGTTTGGTTGAAAATGGCCCAGTGGTTCTTGAGAAGATGAAAATGTGAAAAGTCTACAGATGGACGGACAGACAGACAGCTACACAGACGGACGGACGACGGACAAGGGGTGATCGGAAAAGCTCACTTGAGCTTTCAGCTCAGGTGAGCTGAATCAATTTCCCTTATAATTCTGCTTTTCCCTTGAATTCTGTCTTGTGGCCCAAACCTACCCCTGGGGCCATGATTTGATCATTTTAGAATATGCACTACATTACAATGTTTCCACATTTTAAAGTGGTCCTCGAGAAAAAGATTTTTAATTACCCAACCCTACTTTTGTATTTTCTTGATTATCCCCCTTTGTAAGGGGGCTTGGCCTTTCATTTTAGCAATCTAAACTCCCCTTCAACCAAGGATGCTCTGTACCAATTTGGGTTAAAATTGGTCAAATGATTCTTGAGAATGGAAAATATGAAATATTTACAGACAGAGAGACAAACAGATGGAAGACAGACAACAGGTAATCAGAAAAGCTCAGTTGAGCTTTCAGCTTAGATGAGCTAATAAATGAGGGAAGCTGAAAATAAGAAAAGTAGTAATCTTACCTGCTGTGATTTTCCTTTTTGTAAGCTTGCCTTGTTTTTCCCTCAAAATCCTGCATTCTTTTGTAACTTGATTTAGTTTTTCCCGAAGATAAATTTAAAGTACAAAATATTGACATTTGTCTTCTTTATTGCTTGCCAACTGTTGACTGTGGATTTATAACATCAGAGAATCATCAACAAAAATCACCTTTAATTGGCGAATTTCTTCTCAGCCAGCAATCGTTGTGTAAGTTCTTTTTTTATTTTCATCTCTCTCCCTATTTGATGTTTCCAATGCCTCTTTCAATTCCAAATTCTTCAGCTTTAGTTCACCATTGCTTTTTTTCTCTCAGGCTTCTGTCCTCTGAAACATTAAAATGTATTTTTGTTTGGTCATGTTGAAAATGTAATGCCAATGTGTAGCATAGGCTTTCTTTTATATTCATTTTAATGTCTCCTATTTCACATGAATTATGTAAAAAAATTTCCATTTTCCACACCTTCATTTCAGACATGAAGGATTTTTTTTTAAACGAAATCTTTAATTCGCACATTGATTTTTTTTTTAACTTTAATTCCTCTACTTCATCGTCCAATGGTTCAACAAATGTCTGAAATTATTTTGTAGATATACCAAATGTGTAAATGTAATGTTTCATAACTTTCTATACAAAACTTCTTTACAATAATGAAAAATCTAGAAAGCACTGTTGTCCAATCTAATTTTTAAAATGATTTATTACATAATGTGTATTATTATTTTTCGTTTTATTATTTTTACTTCAGCGCTCATTGCAGATGTCCCTGGTTCACATTCAGAACTTTCATCTTTTTTGTTAGCTTCATTGCTGTTTACAATTTAAAAAATAAAAATTTTTATTGATACAAATAATAACAAAAAAAATCTATTAATTTTTTTTTTAAATCAAATAGTAATGAATTTCAAATAAGAATGGATTTGTTCATCAAAATGAATACATGTACTTAAGATCTGGACTCGTTGCATAGAGAGGTCAGCTGTCTAAAGTTAATTTTTTCGTTGGTTTTTGGTATTCAGCTATTTGGTGTGATTCTTGCCTTATCTTTATTTTTGCAATTTGTATTTTGAATGCTTTGGAATATAGAAATTAAATGTCATGTTTCATGGGAAGTAAACAGAAATCTGGACAGTATAGCTGATGTATGTGTTAAATGCATATTCATTTAAATTTTTTTTTTTTTTTTTTTTTTTTTTTTTTTTTTTGCATTTTCAGACAACTATGATATTATCAATAGATGTGAGTAAAATGTATTTTTTAAATCAAATATGAATACAAAGATAATACAAGTCAACAACTGTAAATATTGTGTTCCTTATGTGTGGTCATAACTAAACTACAAAGTATTTAAAGATTTATCGATCAAAAAAAGTAATCGAACACTAATCGATCAAACTTCCTGAGGTGGATCCTGGATATAAATCAGATGTGAATACAACTGCACCATTTGGAGCAACATATGTCACGACCTTTAAAGTATGACGGCTTTTATAGTTGCTGTAAGGAAGTGACTGACTTCATATTGGATGGAATGTCTTGAGTAATTTCAGTGGCATCCATGGCAATTCTTGCTGATGTAAAATCTTCAAACGATTTCTGTTTAGATCCTTTGCATTTTAGTTGAGAAGGAATGCCTACTGCCTTTAATACACCATCGAAAAAGATTTCATGAAGGACAGAAATAAAAGTGTTCACAATATTTGATACTGTAGAACGGCTTGTCCCAAATCTAACGGCACTTTTGGTCCGATTTCAATCTTATATGGCACGCAATTAGAATACACTACGATACTTATATGCATTTCGGTTTTTGATGTGGTTACTAAAAATAGAAATTTCTGTGAAATACTTTCAAAACACTACTCCTCCTACAGTTTTCAGAAATGCCTTAATGATGTCACCTGCTCGCATCGCTATGCTGTATTGAAAAGCATGTTCTGCGGAAGCATGTGGAATACCAAAAACCGTGATATCACACGGGTAGAAGTTTGACATGACATCATCTTTTCCACTGAAAGCAATAATTTCCTTTGAAGTTGAATCGTGTTTGGTACAAGCTGTATCTCCCGGGGAATGACCAGGGTTTTTGCAGACTTTACAACAAGCTTCATATTCGCAGTTATACCTTAAGTGGTCTTCTCCCCAACAGTTGGTACAGTACCGACCGGACACAACCTAACACCAGAGCGGACCCAAAGCGGACCCCGGGTTCGCTTTCTGGGTTCGCTCGGGGTCCGCTGAGGGTCCGCTTTCAGAAATTTTGGGTTCGCTCTGGGTTCGCCTTGGGTGCGCTTCGGGTTCGCTTGGGGTCAGCTCTGGATCCGCTAGAGCGAACCCGGCGTTCGCTTTCTGGGTTCGCTTTACGCACTCATGCGTGAAGCGGACCCCGCTTTAGTCTTGCCGCCAGTGAGCCCCGCCCCTTGTATATTCCAAATACAGTAGTGAAATCGATCATTGTTGTTTCTGAGGCGATCGATACATGTGCATGTACAATGGCTGCCGCTTTATTGTTGACAACATATAGGAAGGATCACGTTACACGAACGATTCCGCAAGATTAATCCTTCACTCACACGATTCTTCATGTTACACGATCATTCACGACTGTTAAGGCAAACGCACGATTTTTGTACGCAAAATAGCTAAAATTATTTAGAAGTGGATATTTTTAAGACGAAATTAGGCTTAATTTATTTAATAGATATTTTAGATTAAAAATATTTACTGCTGAAATTCATCGACTTTGGAAAACTGAAAGAAAAATAAAATATTTAGAAATGGATATTTTTGAAACTACATTAAATAAGACTTAATAGTCATTTTAGATTACAAATAATTATTTATGTAATTCTCAGACTTATGAAAATTTTTTTTAATGTTTTTGACATGTAAACATGTAACTTATGATCGAATGCTGCATTTTCTATCACATGATATAGGTTGGTCGTGAGTTTTGATTGAACTTATGATATGCAGTAAGGGGGTAGATTTTTAATCAAAGTACTGAAAGTACTACTACGAGTTGATGGTATTGATTGTATAATGTTTAAATGAGTTGAGGTCTCTAGTCCATAGATGGATTATGTGATATTATGTGCATTGATGAAAACTATAACTTTAAAATCTTTTCTCTTTGTTTTCTTTGATTGATTCACTGATTGTATGTTGTTTTACGTCCCATTCGAGAATTTTTCACTCATATACGCAGTACAGTTAAGGCTACACATGAAGATAATATGGTAATGAGGTCATAATGAGGTTTAACGTCATGACAGTTGCTTCGCCTTGATAGATCCATATAAGGAAATAGAGCTCAAAAAAGCTATTTAATGATGATTGCGAGAATTTGTAATGAATGTCCGTATTTTCAGGTTTAAATAAATAAACATTAGTGATTTTCTCTTATATAGTAACAACACGTCTTCGAAATAATTCTCTTTTTATTGTGTCGTTTGGCTGCATTCGGCTTCAGCCAAGCGCTTGCACTCGGTGACACGGAATGTTGTTTACATCTAAAAACGTGGCGACAGCAGCTGAGATATGCAGTGGATAAATGCAACAATCGGGCAATCTTTAAAGAGAATAGGGATAAGATAAGAGACCTGGGCCTTGTTTATCTTTTTGATGAGAAGATGATGACGTTATTTCGGGAAATCATGGAAAACTGAGACGATCCGCACTACTTCACTTGGTCCTTTTCTGTTCATTAAGGTGTGTATGTGCATAGGTATTAACATGTAGACATACTATTCTTTACATCGATGTAAAATAACCGTGAACATGTACAATAAGATGTATTATTACAGTCCGTCACAAACTGCAATGCAGTGCCTTGTGTGTATGCCCCCCCCCCCCCCACACACACACACATACACAAAAACACAAACATTATGAAAGTTGCACACTTTTAAACATGCAATGATGTTGTCCTCTGGCATACATCTACAAACATGTAACATAATATAAGCACAGCACGTCATGATATCAAATAGTATAATTTAGATGCAGTCACACTTACAATGTACATGTATTTGTGATGTCAAACTGCACAGTGTATAATGCATGTGCACTGTACATACAAGAGTATTAGACCCTATAAATTTTAATTTATACCTCTGGCAATCAAAAATATGTGAATTTTCAGATTTCAGTTCTTACCAGTGCTTCATATTTTAAATTCATCGTAGAACTTTAACTATCTGTATCACTAGGCTGTAAATTTGTAGAATTTCTACATTAATGAAGATAAAATGTTTGAATTTTCATTTGTCTGACTACATGTACATTAAGTCAGTCTTATATGTATAAACATGTATTTATGTACTGTTTATATGTATAATTCTTTTCTCATTGTAGCTGTCACAGAACTGGTTCAAACTGGCATTTACATCAGCTAGAACTATCAAAATAGATGCATCATTTTCTCCACTGGGTATGATCACACTAAAGCATTTCACATTAATTTTATAGGATGCCAGTGTTAAGTATTTTTTTAAAATGTTGTATAGGTGAAAGAATTAAATTTATCTCTAGTATATTGATTTTTATTTTTTTTTTTACGTAAATTAAGTATAGCTACCAATTCTATTTTTGCAAAATTTAATGTCATAGGTTTCAATTTCCCAAAAAGTTTTGTATCAAAAGTTTGTTTCCATTTATTTTATAAATTTCAGAAAATATAGTATAGCTTGGTTTGTTTTGTACAATGCAATGTCATTTCATTCTACAATAGTTATCATTAAGTTATTCACTCATTACATATATATTTTGTTCTAGCTACTCCCAAACAATTTGAACAATTCATTCAGGCAGCAAGTGTTTCCACCAATAAAATAAAAAGGTATGCTCCATATAAGCTATAAACCATACATATTCCTAGCAAGATTATTGAAATGTTTTGATAATATAAACAGTAGAGTCATGTATATGCTTTCCATGTTACTCAATGCATTGTTTTGAGTATCACTTTCTTAAAACCCCAATGAACTTTCCATAATGGTATTTCATTTTGTTTTTAGAATTGATTTCATCCAGAAGAACTGTTTGAACTGTGGACTGTTTGAAATATTTTGCACCTGCTCAGAAATCCCCTCACAGCCTGCCTTTGAATTTGAAAAGCTGTTTTTAATTAAATAAATTTTCTAGATAAATAATACTTTGTTTTTTTAATAGTACAATGGTTTGAAAGTTTGAAGGCTGTTAAGATTTGAATATCTTTACTTGAATATATTCTGACAGGCGCGTAGCTGCTTATACGCAAATACGCAGATGTCTACACATCGTTTTCCAATTTTAAAAATGGGATGGGGGGGGGGGAGGGAAGGGGGAAATTTGTGAGAAGAGAAAAAATATCAATACTATCCAGCAAATATTTGTGTTTCAAATTATTTTATCTCATACTGGTTCGATTCAAATTCAAATTTTATATTACCATGTCTTTATTAAAAAAAAAAACTGTAATGTTTTATTAAATCATTGCCACAACCAAATAAAACATTTATTAATTTGTAATTCTTCTACAACACATTGACAATTTTTTTTTAAAGATCTTTGAGCAAATATCAACCGTTGAATGCTGTGATCCACTAGAATATGATTTGAAATATAACATTATTTTTGTTAATAATTGAAAATAAATATATTTGTTGCTGAAAGTTAAAAAAGAGTAGATGATACCAATATATCATTTTAAAAAATATTCAGCCCCTACATGTACAATAAATTTGCACGGAAGTATTTAACTTTGTGTTAAAAGCAATATTAAGTACTATGTCTTGTATTTTCTAAAGAAAATCGAAATGGCATGATTTTGAATGAAATATTTGGTAAAACCCATGAGCTTCCAGGGACTTCGCCCATGGGTCCTCATCAGGGCCTCGCCCTGGACCAACTGGGGTTCTCAAAGCGGACCCCTGCCATTCTCTGCGTACATTTCACTGCCATTCTGGCTACGCGCCTGTTTGTGTTTTTGGGAACCAACAAGATCTAAATTTCAGCATATATATTGTGTTCACCCGTTCTTTAACAGAGTATATGTTTCTTGATTACAAAGTTTTACTATGATTATCTTGTTTGCGCATGGATTGATAATAACTCCAAAAAATGAGACTAAAGCCCCCCCCCCCCCCCCAATGTGATTTGTGCTACAATACCCAAATAAGTTAAACCTGATGTAAACACTGTTTAATAATTTATTTTTTACGTGCAAGTAAGGTATATGGTATCAAAGGAGCCAGACTGGTGATGGGGGGGGGGGGGGGTTAGATCTGTAGAAAGGAAAACAGGTAATTAAATACAGGAGTAAGCTCCCCATTCCCTTCCTCCTGTTCTTAAAACTTTTAACGTAGTCTAGAATTTCTAAACAGCTGAAAGTTTGATAACTAAAATAATCACATATGTAAAAAAAAAAAAAAAAAAAGTTCTGTTGGAGATATTTTTTCTGTGTGTCTGCTGGAGGAGAATAAATATTTTATCATTGATAGCGGCTATCTATTTTTTATTACAAATGATTGAATCTTTCAATATTTTTAACTATGGGCATTGATAGATGTTGCGGCAAATTTTATGCCTATTGTTCACGAACGGAGGAAATGCGGTAGGTGTCAAATACGTCTTGTGTAGCGTATAAAAAAACGAAGATATACAAAACAAAGTAAAGTCAAGGATTTTTTTTTTTTTATGCATACCGATTTGATTTAATGAAATATAGCCCAGCACAGTCCGTAGGTATTATTTGTTCAAAATTTGCGAGGTACACAAACTCTATTAAGTACCACAGAGTTATCTCCCATGCTGGGTCAGTGATGCGTTTGAAAACTACATTTAGAATGAATGTGTTAAGATTTCAATTTTTAATCAAAAAGTGCAAGGGCAAGGCGACAACCCAAGAGGTAGGTTTTTATTTTAAATTCTTTACTTAACTGTATAGTTTTTAAAAAGTGATGCTCATTTCTTTGTAATTCATTAGGCAATTTAAAATTTCCGATTAAATGATGAAAAATACCCCATTTTTGAATACTGCTGTTTGTTTTCAATGAATAACTTAAATATCTCAAAAATCTGACTGAATGAGCATCAGTTTTACGATAGGGTAGATACTAAGGGACACAATGAAACATTGTGCAGTTCAAATATTGTTTGCCTTGCCCTTGCACTTTTTGGTTAAATTTGACATTTCATATTTTGACCTAAAATCGGAGCTCACGTGACTGTAGAGGGTCACATGATGACAAAAAATACCGATGTTAAAAGCGATGGACAAACTCTTCATAAAGCCATTAAGATATATCAGATAGAGTTTCATGTTAAAAAATAAGACGGTTGAACTTTAAGTGTCTCGTTTTTGTTGCCTTTTTATAGAAAATGTTGCCTTAACTGTACTGCGTAGAGACCTCACCATATACCGGTGAGGGGCTTCAAATTTTGACCTTTACTCGGCACTCAGGGCCATCGAGCAGTGACGGATCTTTATCGTGCTAACGCCCACCGTGACAGAGGGTCGAGGTTTTTAAGGTCTCATCAGAAGGACCGCAACTTTCACCTAAAAGTGCCGAGCGCATGGCGAAGGAACAGTTGCTACGCATTTTTTATCGACTTAGGTCAGTCGCGGCCGAGATTCGAACTCACGACCTCCAGATCACAAAGCGTTGTTTCTTTGAGAAATAAAATTATATCATTTTATTTACACCTTTTCCATCATGTATTGTATATTTTTTTAATATCTACTGGAATGTATAATAATTTATCACAAATCGAACCTTTAAACATAGAAAACAAATAATACTAAGTTAGTTTTTGGATTTTTCGTAAAATGACAATGTAGCTTGCATTTTAAGTAATTTGTATTTTTACAAAATGTTAAAGGATACCACCATCGAAATGGTCACAGAGCACAGACTATCATCATTAAAACTACCGAGAACAGTTTCTGGGCACTCGATATCATTTGACAGAAATATCATATATCAGGTGACTAGAAATTTCAAATAGGGAAAAATGGCACAACTGTTGTAAAATCATATTACAGAATTAAAACAACTAAGTAGACAAAAAAAAAAAAGTTTTAAACACACATACCTCAAACTAATAGGTCAAACCTACAATAGTATTACAAGTAGGGAATTATTATTTACAAATAGCGCAAATTGAATTATTTCATTAACATGCTCATTGAATATTTTTACTGCTTTCTTAATTTGACAAACAATTTGACATTTTCAATGTGCATCAATATGTTCCAATTCTCGTGATTAAGCCAGTCTTAAAATTCATATCTTTTACTTTCATTTATATGTATATTACATAATTCAGTTTTCTTGATTTAGTTACTATTGAAATTCAACTCATTGTCTTTCAAAATTTACATGCACATTTGATATTTCAATTCTCTTGATTTAGCCACTCTTGAAATTCAACCCCCTGTCTTTTATGATCATTGATATGCACAATAAATATTTTAATTTTCTTGATTACGCTATACTCTTGAAATTGAACTTCTTGACATTTAACTGAAATGGTCATTTCATATGTCATTTCGTTTGGCTTAGTCACTCTTGAAATATAACTACTTGACTTTAATTGATATGCACATTTTATGTATCATTTCTCTCGGTTTAGCCTTTCTTGAAATTCAACTACTTGACTTTCATTGATACAAGTATGCACGTTAAAAAATTTCAATTCTTTCAGCTTTTCGACTGAAGACTTTAAATTTATCACAATGGCATGATATTGACTATTTACATGATCTATCTACTCTTGAATTAATTTGATTTCTTGATCTCTTCACATTTATAAATGTGCATTTCACATTTAATTTATTATTAACACCCACTTAATTTTGTTTTTGTTTTTATTTATTGCCTTCAGTGCTATTAATTCACTTTATAACATGGCCAGCATCTGATGGCAAAGCACAGCTGGACACATTAAAGGAAACCACTTTCTAGTGTTGTGCCGACAATTAATGAGATAAGAATCACAGGCGTGTTAAGTGACCATTGCTGTATCTAAAGCTTGCTGTGAAACAGATCTAGATTTTAGAAGACAGTGTTTTCAACAGGGAAAAAGAAATTGGAGCACAAAGTTGTCCGCTGCTGAAAAAATCTAACCCTTGAAGCAATTGAAATCTTTTATTGCTTGCACAAGAAATAAGAACTTTAATTTAAAAATTGTTTTACTGGTACAGCTCATTTCTTCCATTTGAGATTAGTAGTTGATTTTACTTCGACCTTCTTTACTGCAAACTTCTCGCTTTGTTTACAAACATAGGCAGTGTTCTCTGTGTTGAACGATTCATCACTAGCGCGGGAAAACTGCTCTGTTCACTAGTATAACGCGCAAGAATTAGTTTATTTATATACCACCAGCACGTCAATCTTTTAAAAATAACCTGGTTTGTACAATGTTTAATTTTGTGAACTTTCTTTAAAAAATTGTTTGCAAAATACTTCTTATTATATAAAACATTTATTGATATATAAATCAAAATTTTGTTTGCATGATATGTTACTTTTTTTGACCGCATGTCCCTAACACTATTTTCTTTTGCGGATGGACACAAATTCCAATAAAATTGATAATAGATATTTATGTCTATAAACACTTCAAAGCATATCAGGAAACATATTCTTGCTCTGTAGATTATGAAAACTGTAAATAAACCAATATTATACAAGAACCCGTACGCAAAATACTCAAATAAAAATGTGATTAGTTTCGATACATTGGGGAATCCCTTACAAGTCACATAACATGAGTTGATACCATCAACTCGTAAAAATGACATAAAATGAATTAAACTATAATCATCTTTCCATTTATGAATTTCAAAAATCAGCGATCTTTTTTTTTTTTTTTAAAAATTCATTCATTTGCAGATATTATATATATATATATATATATATATATATATATATATATATATATATATATATATAATAACAAGTATCAGGGATGAAAAGTAACCCCGACAATAATGTACATTTGCCGACTAAATATATGTAAGTATCGGGAATTTTTTTTTCTTTTTTTTCTTTCTTTCTTTCTTTCTTTTTTTTTTTTGATAAAAATACCATGACTACAATTAGCAG